CCCCAGCTGGGGCTGTCCCAGGAACAGACCTTCATTAACCCCCCTCCCGCCTCTGTGCCCAGCCCAGGTGGGCACTTTTGCTGGACCTGGAACTAGCCCCCGGGCATCCCCGGGCTCTGCCAACACCAGTTCCTGAGCTGGAGCCTGCAGGTGATGGGAGAGACCTGGGGAAAAGGGCTGGGGCCGGGCAGGATAGTGACTCTGCACAAAGGGCCCCTTTCAGCGACCTGCTGGTGAGTTTGTACCGGAGTTGGAGGGGCTATCCATGTGCCTGCAGGTCCCAGAGCTGCTGCCCCCAGTGACACAGTTAGGCTCACACTGGAGAGCGAATGCCCATGGGAACGGGACAGTCCCCAGTTTTCCCAGGCAGAGGGGAGAGGGACAGAGACAGAAAGGGGAAATGGTGAGACCGAAAGGGGCAGTAGGAGCAAGAACTGGGGAGGGAGGTTCCCAGCCCTGCCCGGATCCATTCCCTGCATCCCCCTGGGCCGACTCACTCTCCTGGGATTTGGAACAAGGGGAGGAGCTGACAGAGGAAAAGCCAGATCCTGCATCTGCCTAGTCCCCGCGCTGCTGGGGGGATGCACTGCCCACAGGGCCAATATCGGGGGAAATCCCCCATAGTGGCTCCTTTGATTCTGCTCTTTTCTAGCATTTGTCTTAGAGACTCTGTCCCTGCGGGGGTTTAAAAGTGTCTCAGGGGTTCAGTGCTGGTGGGAGGGGCCGGGTCTGTGTTGTAATAAAGTGACTGAGGGTTTTCCAAGCATGGCAGAGCCCAGAGTGTCTGTCTGCAGGGAGAGAGCCTGGGGGGAATCGGGGTGTGAAATGGACTCAAGCCCCTTCTGAAACCTCCCCCATCGTCCCTCTCACCCTGACAGGCTGAGGAATCACGTCCATGTTTCACTCCAGATCGTCCCGTCTTCCAGGGGACAGGGAAGGGAAAGGGCTGTGATGGAGCCAGCTCAGGTAGGGGATTTTCAGGGAGCTGCAGGGGGGTTGCTGTAGAGGAGGAGGGGAAGGAAACATACAAGGGGAGGTGGGGAGGAGACAGGGTGTGATAAACCTGCTGGGACATGATCAACCTGGGCCTGATTTTCTGAACAGGCCCATTGGCCAGAGGGGGGCATTCCCCCATTTCTGAAACAAGGAACACTCCTCCTTCCTCCCCCCCCCCCCGGGCAGGGATGGGAAAACTGAACCCACTTGCCAGAGGCTGCTGTGAAATACGAAGGGAAGCTGTCGGGAGGATTCCTGTTCCTGTCCCTGGCTCTGGCTCAGAGCTCTGCTTCCCGCATCAGCCTGTGGCTGACAGACGTGTGGGAAATGAGAAGACCCTGCCCTGCTCCGTGTGCTGGGCTGACAAGGAGCTCTCACCTTCTCCCCACCCCCTGAAGCCTCCTGGCTGCTCTGAGCAGGTGTGTGTGGTGGGGGGGGATTCTGCTTCTCTGGGCCTCCTCCGCCATGAATAGTGGGATTGTGGCTGGGGCAGCAGACTCTGAGTGAGAGAACTGATGTTTCAGATGCCGGTGACCTTCGAGGAGGTGACTGTGTATTTCACCCAGGGGCAGGGGGCTCTGCTGGACCCTGGTCAGAGAGCCCTCTACAGGGATGTCATGCAGGAGACCTATGAGACTTTGACCTCTCTGGTTTCAGAGTAGACTTTGACCTCTCTGGGTAAAGGATTCCTGGGCCCTCAGCTATTAGAAGCTGTGGGGTCTGCGTGTCTGACTCTGGTCAGGTTCTTCCCTGATCAGTTGGATTGGTGGAGAGCGTCGTGTAGTTCACAGCTCCACAGTGAGAAATGCTTAGACTGTGGGAAAATCTTCAGTAGGAAGCTATGTCTTATTATACACCGGAGACATCATCTGCCCACACGTCTTGCAATGATCCTGAGGACCAGTGTGACATGAGCCTTTATTAGCGACCTCCCATGACCCATGGTGGATAAATACTATGAAAGCAATGCATGAGGAGTGGTGAGTTTGTCAGGCCTGATCCGCGTTGCCCTCATAAAACAATGCACCCTTTTCTGGTCAACACTGAAGGGCTCTTAGTGTCCTACCCATGGGTGGTGGGTGAAACCCCCCTTCGGGGAGGCTAGTCCCCTGACCCCACCCCTTCTGCCTGAGACCCCACTCCCCTCACCCGCAGGAGCCCCAAGCCCTGCCACGCCCACTGTGGCCGGAGGAGCGCTGGCCTGAGCAGCAGGCCGACCCACAGGCCGCTGAGCCGCCCGCCCCCAGGCCCCCAAGGAGAGAGACAGGGAGCAATGGGAACCACCCGGGTGGGAAGGTGGAGTGGAGAAGCGGAGAGGAGTGACTCACCAGGCAGCGTGCGGGCAGTGGCGGCCTCAGGAAAGGAGTGAAGCAGGGAGGGGAAGAGGCACAGAAAGTCGGGACCACCACAGCCAAGGTATCCGTTGGCAGGCACGCTAGGGGAGGCTTAGTCTCCTCTGGCCTATTATAACTGCTGCCCATGCTCAGACCAGAGCTGCCAGTTCTTAAGATGGTTAAAGAAACAGTTTGACAGCATTCTGTCTGGCAAGAAATCACTTATCAGTAGTTGTGGTTGTGAAACTCTCATTTCTTTATGGCTTTGTCTTTATGGTCCCCACTTCTCTATTCCTTATCTGGATGGTCTCTGTCTGGTTCTTTGATTGTTTCTGTCTGTTGCATAATTAATTTTGCTAGGTGTAAATCAATTAAGATGGGGTATGATTGGTTAGAGAATTTTGTTACAATATGTTAGGATTGGTTAGTAAAATTTTAATAAAATGATTGGCTAAGGTACAGCTAAGCAGGACTCAAGTTTCACTGTATAAACTGGGATCCAAAAGGAAGTTCTTTGGGAACCAACTTCAGGACACAGCTCAAGATCAGAGCTCCCAGATCTCAACACCCTGCCAAAGCTGGAGTCCCCCAGATGACCTGACTCAGACTGGCCAGCAGGAAAAGTTTGTCTGCCCTATTGGGAGTGATGAGCATTGTCTGCTTAGTATGCGTATTCTGACTGTTTTGGTCATTGCTAATAAATAGAGGATAAGGATATAACTGGGTGTTAAAAGGGATCTTTAACAGCCCACAACTGGGCAGAATGTTTACCGGTACAGTGAACAAGTCAGATTCAGGATACTGAGTGCACAACAGTTTATTTGAGAAAACCTTATACTGCTTGTGTAATTCTATCTAATGCACATCTCCCTAGTGAGCCTCAATTCCCCAAGCCTAAACCCTCAGTACTTATGCTGGCCCCACACAGTATTCTGATTGGCTAGCAAAGCGGGTATAGCTACCAACCTAGAAGAGGATTTCTCTCTTTTCTTGTCTTCTCTTCTCAGGCACCTGGTCTATCAAGGATTCCCCTGAGGCGGAGACTTGGCTACCCTGGGACCCTCTGTCTTACAGCATCACAGACCTCTTCAGATGTTAATTAGGGAACCCTTCTTCTTCTTCTTCTTCTTCTTCTCTTCCTCTCCTTCTCCTCCTCTTTAGCTAATTTACTTTGCTTAACATTTATACGTTTTGCTCTCAAAGGAGTCACATGTCCTAGAAACATGTCCTGTGGGCATTTTATTACTAATTTTCTCCTAATTAATATTTTGGAAGGGACTGCAGAAGGGGCACCGACCAGACTTCACCCCACATTTACGCTTTCATCAGTCATTCACTCAAGCTCTCAGCGTGATGCCTTCCAAAGGGGTCATTTTGCCCCAGGTCAGCTTGTGCCAAGCTCACTGATCTTGTGTTTATACCATTTCTTTACCTGGTGAGCTGGCATATTGACTGACAAAGGTCAGTAATAGAACAGACACGCAGAATAGAGAATTTCCACATTAACCGTTTTATAGAATCATAAAAGATTAGGGTTGGAAGAGACCTCAGTCCAATCCCCTGCTCAAAGCAGGACCAACACCAACTAAATCATCCCAGCCGGGCCTTAACAACCTCTAAGGATGGAGATTCCACCACCTCCCTAGGTAACCCTCCTAGTGAAACCTAGACCTCCTGCACTGCAACTTGAGACCAGTGTTTCTTGTTCTGTCATCTACCACCACTGAGAACAGCCAAGCTCCATCCTCTTTGGAACTCCCCTTCAGATAATTGAAGGCTGCTATGAAATCCCCCCTCACTCTTCTCTTCTGCAGACTAAATAACCCCAGTTCCCCCAGCCTCTCCTTGTAAGTCATGTGCCCCAAGCCCCTAATCATTTTTGTTGCCCTCTGCTGGACTCTCTTCAATTTGTCCACATCCCTTCTGTAGTGGGGGGACCAAAACTGGATGTGGCCTCACCAGTGCCGAATAGAGGGAAATAATCACTTCCCTCAATCTGCTGGCAATGTTCCTACTAATGCAGCCCAATATGCCATTGGCCTTCTTGGCAACAAGGGCACACTGCAGTGCTGACTCATATCTAGCTTCTCGTCCACTGAAATCCCCAGATCCTTTTCTGCAGAACTGCTGCTTAACCGGTCGGTCCCCAGCTTGTAGCAGTGCATGGGATTCTTCCTTTCTAAGTGCAGGGCTCTGCACTTGTCCTTGTTGAACCTCATCAGATTTCTTTTGGCCCAATCCTCCAATTTGTCTAGGTCTCTCTGGACCCTATCCCTACCCTCCAGCGTATCTACCTCTCCCCCCAGTTTAGTTTGATGCTAAGGAGACCCTACTCCCAGAATCCTCTAGCAAATTCAAACATGTCAAGCCATACCACATTCATTCATAACAACCGCAGTAATTCATAATAATTCAGGACCATTCCAACAGCCTCCAACTCAATATCCAATCATACCAATTATACCAATATGCCATTTATTAGATCATGTGTATCCTGTTTTCCTTCTTATCCCTTTAAAATTTAAAGCATCCTTTTACGATCTTCAAAAGCATAATCTGGCAATTTAATCTTAATCTGCAACGCTTGTCTTTTTTTATATTGCTTACACATTTGGTGCCCAAGCCAGAAGCATAGTAGAAATGAAGCAGTTGTTTCACAAATCCACAATAACATCGCCCATCCAATGTCATTCCATTCTGTCACTTGACATACAATATCATACCAGGCACACACTGGAGATCTTATTTTTCTACAGCTTTTTCAACAATTTTATATTTTACAGTTATTACAAGTCTGGGTGATTATTTGATTTGATTTAATGTTCCTTAATTTGTCTATATTTCCATATCCCAGTCTGTATCATTCGATTCTCTTTCCTCCAAATATGGCGTTATCAATCTAGGGCGAGTTATAAAGGCTTCAGTCATGTGGGGGTGTCAGTGGTATTGCTTATACTCAATTCCTTGGGCCATCGGGCAGGTTTGGTTATTTATTGTTACATTTCCCTTTTTTGATGCTGTTAGAGGACTGTCCCTTCACCCTCCCACTTCCCTCATTCTTGTCATGCAGACAGAAGCAGCAAAAGATCAGAAGTCCGAAGCGTAGACAATGCAATGTTTATTGGGGTTAATTTCCAGCAAGCATGATTCCAATTTCCCTATCCACTTCCTGTTTGACGCCAGTTTATATAGTAATTTTCTCAGCTATACCTTAACCAATCTAACCAATCCTAACATGCTGTAACATAATTATCTAACCAATTATATCCCACTACCCTAATTCACTTACACCTAGCAAAATTAATTATACAGCAGACGGAAACAATTAGAGAAGCAGACAGATTAACAATAGAAAAGTGGGGGTCATAAAGATAAAACAATACAGAAATTAGGGTTCCACAACCACAGCCATTGATAAGTGATTTCTTGCCAGACAGAATGCTATCAAACTAAGTTTTCTATAACCATCTTTATCTGGTGGTGATAGGCACTATCAGGACAGGGTTGTATTCCTAACAGCCCAATAGCACCTTATTTCAATGTGGCTGGTTTGGAATGTGTGGATGTGACCATGCGCGTCCCAGGTTACGGCTGCCCCTGCTGCTTAGCCTCGGACTATCCTAGTGAGAGAAGGCCCATACACAGGCAGACTTGTGATTTTGATTCTTTGTTTTATACCTCTATAACTAGCTAAGTGATAAAAATACACCTAAGTTCTTCAAGTACAGGCCTTTACAGACAGGCCTGAATATCTATATTCTCACTGATGCCAAGAAATGTTTTGATTTATTTCATACAGACCCCACCAATCATGTTTCATAGGAAGGTTACCCCATTTTTATTTGGCTACCACAATTTATTAGTTTGTTTTCATCCCTCTCTGGGTATTTAACACAATCCATTTCCCTCTGATACTATTTCATAGTACTCCATTTTATTCCCCAAGCATTTGTATATATTACTGGATACAGTTCTTGTGCCTCTCTGTTTGCTATACCAAAAAGAACAAGGCTGCACTGGCATATGATACATGTATGCACTTGCACCTTCCAGGTATCTTGGAATGACAGATTAATGTAAGATTAATAACTCAATGTCCAATTAAGTCTCTCTGGCCAATTATCTCTCTGACTTTGTTTCAAGATATCTCTCCACTGTTCTCCCAAAATTTCCTGGACTTCTATATACACTTCTCCCCAAGAAAATCCTGAGTGAACATTTCTTGTCCCAAAACACTTTCCCTTAATAATTCACTTAATTCCATTACAGAATATCCCATTTCTTGATTCGTGATTTTCCCTTGTTCCCCAGTATGTGCTGATTGTACCAATTGTTCCAGAGTTTCTTTTACTTTCTCTCGCAAGGTGGAGAGACTCCATGTATTTCCTAATCACATCCCAGTATTAAATCTTTCCCTGATTGTGTCTCTTTTAACCATCCCTCTTCTTCCCACATCCCCAAACCAACATGTTTTATATTTTGCAATTCATGTAGAACAATTTACATAATGACTGTCTATCATCCAATCCTTAAGGACTAAATTTACAAAAAATTTAAATCTATATCCGTTGTGTATATATCTATGGTTATGATCATAATTTGAAATTAACCATTCCATACATTCAGGGGAATGGTTAGTTACACTGTGATGTTCTTGTGTCAATTTGGTTACACTAAGCCATGTTTTTCTTTCTCTGTGTTGTAGATTACCCCCATATGAGGTATGGCATTTTAAAGCACATTTCTGTCCTTCAGGGCACTTTCGTCTGGACACTTCCCATCCCTTGAATTGGGTATTATGACGATGTCCTTTTACCATTACCCACTCATTTCCTGGCTCCCATTTAAATACAGATTCATTACCATGCCCCAGTGAACGTGTGTTTTGTGTACACCAATCACACTTTCACTGACACATCCCCACATTTTTGGTGGTGTTATACAATTTCACAGCTGATCTTATACCTCTGTCTGGAATTTTTGTTCCATTTTCAAACCAGGCCCCTTGAATGATACATTCTTGGGGTGCTGTTCCCAGATGGGGGTTGGTCTGTCTGAGGGGTTTCTCCATATGGTACTTTTGGTTTCTGCAATTCTCAGTTCTGGTATCAATTACTTGGGACTCGTGGGTCCCCAATTCATGGACACAATTTCTTACATTTGAGGTCCATAAACATCTTTTATGACTTGGATTATATTCTCGCTGAACTACTAACATATGTTTTCTGAAGTCCCTTGCCACCCTTTTGTCAATATTTTAGAAATCGATTCTTGAACGAAGCACGTGTTTCTATGTTACATGAAATATCCATATCCTTTGAGTATCTTTCTTAGCTTTAAAGGGATTAACTGGCTTCATTACTATACAATGCCAGACATCCCTGTCTCCCACGTCCAATTCTTCCTCCTTATTATACCCTTTACCAGGCTTAGCAACTTGATATCCCTTATTGAGTTATGGAGAGTGTGACACCCCAGCACCCTCTTATTTACTTCTGTTATATAATTAGGATGTGTTTTGCACGAAGTATGCCTTGTGAGGTAGCATTCTAAAAGTCTTGATCTGCTAGACATTAATATCTCATTGGATTGTATGGGCTATCATCGTGTGTGAAGTTATAATGTTTGGCTGGTTGTGAGGTTGAAAACACCCACCCACAAGCACCCTTTAAGCCTGGTACAGCAGTAAAAAGGCCAAACAATGTTAATGGCTTATTGAGAAAATGCACAAACCACAAAGATTACCCCAGGAACTGTGGACAATAGAAACCTCTCAGAGATAGCAGCACACAATAGGAACTGCTTGACCCAAGTCACAGCCAAAGAGCTTTCCAGCAAGTGGGAAGAAGATATAAAAGGGAGGAAATGACATCATGAGGGTACCTCACTCTCCCTACAACAACACACCTGGAAACACCTGAGGAAAAAGACTAAACTGTGAGAAGTGATGGCCCCAGGCTACAAGAGTGGTAGCCATGTTAGTCTGTATCAGCAAAAACAATGAGGAGTCCTTGTGGCACCTTAGAGACTAACAAATTTATTTGGGCATAAGCTTTCGTGGGCTAGAACCCACTTCATCAGATGCATGGAGTGGAAAAT